GAGCGTAACATCATAAGTGATGGAAACAAATCTGCGGAAAGGAGGGTTAGTTCATCGGGTTCCGCATTCTAAATCTCGGGAGAAACTGCAAGAATTATTTCAGAGTGTATGCGTGTTCTTTTGTAAATATAAACACTGCAACCTATTTTAACTTGTTTTTGTGTCCTTTTAAGCAGCGCGATATGTCTGTTATGACTAGAGTGCCAAATTTTATTTTTTAATTTTGATCTTCTCCACACTATGCATAGTTCATGACCTGATATTTTAACGTAAATTATCGAGAAGGCGCCTTCCGATCACCTTTGTCTACTTTGTAAGTCACGCAAGCGCGCAAGCGTTACTACCGATCACGTTTACGCAACGTTTTAGGACAACTCGGCATTTAATCTCCACTCAGTTGTTGTGAAAACCTAAAATCCTCAGCGTAGAAGATAAACAAACGAAGTTTGAACTGTCAAAAGGAGATCTTGATCTAATCCAAGAATCATGCAAATAATCTTTGACACGAGCGCAATTGAGCAAACAAATGGATTTGCGTTGTTTTTAAGAAGTTGGTGGATGGAAGCTAGAGATATACCCGCGGGTTTGAGGCAATCCGTGACCTCATTGGTGTATAAACTATGCACAGATATGCTTTTTCAGCCCGATGAACGCCTGCATTTTGAGAATTCTTTCGTACAAAGTAGTGAATTTTTGATATGCAAATTAAGGTAGAAGAGAAGGGTCTCCTATGATCACGCTGGTATGAAAAATATTTCAGCTGAAGTTTCCATATTTTGTCTGTGAACTAACTAAATACACCTTGTAACTTGTGGCAAGATAGAATTCCGTGAGCTACATTGTTGCAGTCGCTGCGCGCTGGACAAAATCTTTGAAATTGACACTTTCGATCGCTGTTCACAGGGGTGGTCTGGCCAAAAATCATTTTTGGCTTGTGGCGACGCAAAAAAGGAGAATTGGAGAACAACAAAACTATTTTTGAAATATGTGTCCTAAACCCTTTTCATGGGCAAAAAATAAAAGAAAACTTTTTTCCGACGGGAAGTCGAGAGGACCGCTCTTAGCGAGAGTGGCACTTAACTGTTCTAAATCAGCAAAAACGAAAGCAAATTACCCCAATTTTAGGAATTCATTTCCTTAAGGTTCAAACAACTATTGGACAAAATAAGATTAAAATCCATGGAATTTTATTAGCGTGAGAGATATCTGTCGGAAGTGCATTTTTCGAGATAATTTCAGCCTTTTAGCCCAGGGACTTGCTGTGGGGGCTCTAATACCCCAGGGATAAGCTGGGAGCCCAAACTACTCAGGATTCTTGAATAACTTAATGACCCCAATGAACTGTGATAAACTATGAAGGTTTGAAAGAAATCGGTGAGATGGCATGTATCGCGCCTGTCCGGTCCTCTCGTGGACAGACTCTTAAATATCTTTTGAGGTCTAAATTGTCGTGGAAGCCTTCTGAAATTATCAGTTATTTATTATGGGTAGCTGTGTAGTGGTTTTTCGAAATTTTCTTTGGGCAGCCACGGAGCAGACTAAATATTTCAACCTGTAGAATGACAGGAAGGATAGTCC